TTTGTGCGTTTATTATTGTAAAATCCGTTTTTATTCAACTTCATTGGCCAAATGAAATAATCATTGTTTTTTCTGATGGCAAAAAACTTATCTCATTTTGTAAAGCGATTAATCTTGTTCGTTTTTATATTTTCATGTCGTGTTTTTTTTATTTTCATTTCGTTTTTTATAGATCTTGAAATTGTAACGTTTATGTATACATCACACTAGTATTACATTTTGTTAACGACAAAATAAAACCAAGACAAACAGATAATTTACTGGATGACAAGTAAAATAGATTTACGTTGAAAATTAAACTAACGGCATTAAATACTTTGTTTACTTTTTAAAATAATATCTTTATTTGTGCTGGCGAAATAGTTATTTCCTTATATTGACAATCAACAAAAAAATCTTAACCAAAACTTATCAATCTTAGGTTGATACATAACTCTAAACCTTTCAGATAATTTTGATAAGAAGGAAAACGTAATGTAAAAATGAGAGATAAATTGTACAAACATAGACAATACTACACATCATTATGCGTTTGAAACATTTGGAGACAGAAGTGTTTAAAGGCATCAATGTACATAATTATGCTTAGATATGTTGATGTATAAACTAAATAAGCTCGATTGTAAATATGGTGATCAACACTTGCATGCACCATACAAAACACATTTGATTATTATGAAGAAGCACACACACGTTTTAATTATCAAAACTTTAAGCGAAAAAAAAATTCTATTATAATAATAAATGGTAATTAAACATGAAGTCGAAGACCATGACGGAAATTGAAATAATAACGTCTTACTTTGATACTGAGATACGTGCAACACTGCCATTGCACTTTTAGTTGTGTATTCCACAAAAACCATTAAAGCTTACGTACAGAAGCTAAGTTTTAGCTAAATTTAAGCTTCATTATTTGAACGCAGGATACAATTGCTTTTTGGTAAATTTCATTAACACTTTAGCGTCATGAACTATAACTGGTTAATTTCGATGAAACATTTGGTAAGATAATCGTTGGTCTTTAACTCACGAACAATTGATTAACAAGATACTTTGTAGTCACAGCTATATGTAATTCAACACAGAAATAAAACACTTGCTTTTATTTTATAATCATTTTTTATGGTATAATTTTAATGTTCAGTTTGTCATTTTTTATTGATATATTCAAGTAATGACGTTGGACAAATTATGTTCATGTATATAAATTTAGTGATGGTAGTTCTAAATATACATTTTATTGATGTGACTCATACAATTAAAACAGCTGATTTTTAATCAAACTGAAAGCATTTATAACAAAATGAACTTACCAAATCATAGATTGTAGAATTTGAGACGTAGGTTTTGAAGTTATGTTCAAGATCGATTAAATAGAAACATCAAGTATTGAATAGAACAATAATTGTATATCTTATACATAAAAAAGTTATTAAAGCCAGTAACAATTTAACGGAAAAGAAATTATATATTATTTCATTCTAAAACAGTTTCTTATTGATAAGAGGTAATTTTCTCATAACTTTGTGCACAAGTGAGTGCATTACCTACGACACTATGTAAATAAAATCTCAATCATTTCACTAATCTAAAGTTACCATTTTCCTCATATATTTGCATTTGCATTACCTTAGGCACTAAATAAAGAAAAAATCTATTTTATGCTAGTGCTAAGTTACTTTTTTTCATATCTGAAAGGACTTTGTCCAATACAAATGCAGGAGACACAAATCAAGAATCAAATAGAACTGTTATGTTATCTAATATTTATGATAATCATATTGACTTAAAAGATAAATTATTTGAATGAATTGTTCAAAATAAAACCTTAATTATTTTCAACGGTGTTTTTCAAAGCGGTGTGATATTAGTAAACTAACTTTTCATATAATCGGGAAAAACCCCGAAGTAGACTAGCTGCAGCAACAAGAGCTGTCGGTAGGACAGCAACGGTCGACTATTCTTAGTGCTTGATTGTAAAAAAAAATGCTTGATACAGTTACCTCCTCCTGTTTACAGGTTGGGGTAATGATGGTGAACAAGTGTGCAAAGTTTCAAAGCCATATGTCAATGGACTTTGAAAATATTTGAGGTATTACAAAAACTTTAACGTAAATTCTAAGTGAAAAAATGGGCATAATTCTGTCAAAATGCTTGATATAGTTACCTCCTCCTGTTTACAGGTTGGGGTAATAATGGTGAACAAGTGTGCAAAGTTTCAAAGCCATATGTCAATGGACTTTGAAAATATTTGAACTATTACAAAAACTTTAACGTAAATTTTAAGTCGAAAAAGGGGCATTATTCTGTCAAAATGCTTGATACAGTTACCTCCTCCTGTCTACAGGTTGGGTAATGATGGTGAACAAGAGTGCAAAGTTTCAAAGCCATATGTCAATGGACTTTGAAAATATTTAAACTATTACAAAAACTTTAACATAAGTGGTTACGCCGACGCTCGGGTGACTACAATAGCTCAACTTATTCTTATCGAATAGTCGAGCTAATAACAATGACGAGGTATTATGGAATTACAAAACAACATCATATTTGCAACAGCTGTACCATGTATTTTTTCAAAATTTTAAAATGAATAATAAATGTGAACCAGAGACTGCTTTTTGAATTGACAATGAATATTGTATTCAAACATCTTTTGTGTGAAAAAAAAATATTGTTTTTGATATAAGACCTTGTGAACCCCATAAATTGTATTGAAGATCGAGTGAGCAATTATTATTTTATTACCTGTCTTATTACACAGAGTTATTTAGTAAATCTGTTACATGTATGCCTTTTGTTCATTCTTATCAGAATAAAGAAACTATGTGTCATTAATATACATCCACTGAAATTGACAACAGACACATTTTTATAGAAAAAAACGACAGCTTTTATCTATATAACTGCGACGACTATACACTCTTCCAAATAAGCGATCGTGAGCTATTCGGAGTTATCTTCGCTTACCGGAAGTGACGTAGAGTGAGGACTTGATACCAAAACTAATTCAAAACAGAAAAACGTTAAATTATTCAATTTTAAACAAGGTAACATTATTTTTTTCTTACATTTTCAAAACTTTATCATTGATTTAACTTCAAACAACCCAGTAACGGTGTTTTTGTCGTTTTTGCAAGGATTCGTAGGCGAAAATAACAGTTTTCTTTTTTACTGACCCTCGTTTCGGATACGCAATAAATTCGGATAAAAATCATTACGAGTATTACGTACAATTGCTGTGTGTATTCTTTTAATTACAGCTTAATACATCATTAACAATGTTCATTCAATGTACTGTATTGTTTAATTCAGACAGATCTGTTGTTTTTTATATTTGCTTAGCGGGTTGTTTTACCACAGCTAATTAAAAAAAAACAATACAAATGATAAGAAACCTATCAGTAATTTACTTAAGAAAAATGTTGCATTTGCTAAATGAATCCAACATGATATGCATGATGAGCTTAAAAAATATTTAAGAGTAAAAATACTTTTTTTTTCTATTTTACAGCTGATATCAGGATGTGAAAGCTTTCTGTGTATTTTAACTTTGTATTGCCAAACGTCAATACTGACTACATAAATATTCATGACAATGGCAAGTGTCCTGGCAGATGTGGATACAAACTGAGTCCTACAAAAATGTAGTTGTTCAAAGGTATGATACCTCAAACTTTATAATGATTTCCAGATAAATGAATTGACAAATCATCATCAGAGCTGCATCAGTACTAATGGTGTAGTACTTAAGTACCAGTACTTGGCAAATTATGCAGTACCATTACCAGTACCCGTACTAGATTTTAGCTCGGTACAGCAGTACCAGTACTTTTTTTGGTGAAGTAATTAAGTATCAGAACCATTACTTTTATATGTTCATCACAGTTGGAATAAATACACAGTGTCAAACGTTACAAATCATTGCAAATATTATTCAACAAAGAAATAAAATCATAATTTACATTAATATAAAAAAATCATAACATTTTTACAACTTTATAGTTTTAACATACTTTTTTACCAACACTATTTACAACATATATTTATGTCATCTTAATTATTGTTTAGTAAACAGTCAACTGTAATACAATGCAATCATCTTTCATTTAAAACACAACAGTGTTTTGTTGCCTTTCACACATTCACACCTCTGTTCAATTTACACCAAAGTAAATAACAACTTTTTATAGTGCAAACGATATCACTTGAAGTAGGATTATTTAGAATAGAAGCAATAAATTAGTGATTATTTTGCTCTTTTACTAGTAAATACAAAGTAACAAAAGATTTGAATAAGGATATTTTAGGGTAAAGAGTTATTGAGTCTGTTTATCTCAATTTCATTTTTACTTAAAGTCTTTGGTGCTTTTTTATGATGAATACTATGTTAACATTTGAAGGAATATTGCCGCAAATTATCTATAGATTTGATAACTTACTTTTTCACAAAAGTAAAATAATGTAATTTACAGCTTTATTTTATGAGAAAAATTGATGCTTTTTTTTTTATCAAATCCAAAAGTACTGTCTAGTAATGCAGTAGCAGTACCACTTTTTAAGACAGTAATGCAGTACCAGTACCAGTAGTATGAAAATTTTGTAAGAGTAATTCAGTAGCAGTACTTGCAAAATCGCTGCTGTACATAATGCAGTACCAGTACCAGTAATGCAGCTCTGATCATCATTAATGAATGTGTATTGTGACATTAAATAGCGGTATTTACATGGAAAACATAAATTTCTATTGACAATACCATTTCGTTGGAAGTTTTATGTACAAATAGCATGCATATATTATTTATAACTTCTTGATACTTCAAAGTTATTACAAAGTATGTTTTATAAAAGTATATAAAAAGGGGAAAATCAAAAGAAAAGATTAAGGTCAAACTTAATTGCAGTACAATATTCATGTATATGATTTTCTCACCTTTTACATAGACAATTACTTTATACTTGTAATTGTAGGTTGTTATTTATCAATTTTATTTTAACAGCTGACAGAAAAGGACATACCAGGAGCAACATTAAGCACTGTACCAGAGAAATGCAGAGTGACAGACCTGAGGGTGTGGTTAAAGTGCCGAGGTCAAAAAGTCAAATCTAAAGAGAACAAGGCTGAACTTTGTGTCAGGTTTGTGAAGTAGTTGCTTACAATTTTTAACTAACTACATGTGTATATTAATGTGTAAACATATTCATGTATAATTATGTAGGAATATGTTTTACACTACAGTCTGTATAGAATATTACTTGTACTGTGAAGCTGTATGGATGTAAATCAAAGCTGAAGGACATTTGAGCCGCGTCATGACAAAACCAACATAGTGTGTTTGCAACCAGCATGGATCCAGACCAGCCTGCGCGTCCGCGCAGTCTGATCAGGATCCATGCTGTTCGCTTACAGACCCTATAACAAGTAGAGAAACTGATAGCTAACAGCATGGATCCTGATCAGACTGCGCGGATGCGCAGGCTGGTCTGGATTCATGCTGGTCGCAAACCCATTATGTTGGTTTTGTCATGACGCGGCTCATTTATTTGTAGATCTAGATCTGTACAGGCTGCACTGGGCTGGTGCAGTTTTGCTTGTTTTATTTTAAATGCTTTATTTTTATGCACAAGTCTTTTTGATATATTTAGTTTAAAGTTACTTATGCTAAAGTCAGGGATGACATGATATACATGTACCTAGATCTAAAAGTTAATGAAATGAATTGTTGATTTGAATGTTAATTTTAAAAATTTTATTTTGTCTTTGATGATTCATACTAGGGCTCGGTATCTGTAAAATTATGGATATGATATTTGTAAAGTTAAAAGGTGACCGATATTTGCTATATCATATGATATATTACGTTACTATAAATTAAGTTCATTATATATTGTGATCCCTATCTGAAATATGACTTTGTTTATTTTTAGGGTGAAGAAGTGCGTAGAAACAGGTGCTGTTTTTGACATCACTGATCCTTATCCTGGACAGCCGTATCTTGAGAAAAAGAAATCTGCCTGCCCAAACTGCCAAACAAAAACAAGACAACAAAACTCCAAAGAAACTGAAACTGAGACTGTAAATTGGACGAAAGATGCAAAGTGCCTGCCAGAGACATTTAACTATGTGAACATTTTGGACTACTCAAAACTGTCAGGAAAGAAGACAAAAGACATTGTTGAAAAACCCATTAATCGAGGATACACTTTATTTTTTGATGGATATGTTCATGATGTCTCTACTAGTACAAACTCAAATAACATTATTGTAAAATGTAAGTGTTTCAAATCTATGAAGAAAAATGAACAACCCCATGACAGTAGAGTGACATTAGATTCCAAGGGCCATGTGAAGTGTGGGAAATGTTCTTGTGTTGCAGGTGCTAGTGGGTTCTGCAATCATGTGTTTGCCCTGCTCTACACCATTGACCACTCAGTGAAGATAAAATTAACAGAATTTAGTAAATTGAAAACCTGCACTGAAAGGCCTTCACAATGGACCAAAGCTAGAACAGAAGGAGTCCGGGCCGAACCTGTTATGGCTGCAACTGTGGTAAAGCCCAAATTTGGAAAATAAACTTTTGTGGTATAAGACCCCTTCTTCAAGACACGCGGTTGAAAGAAGCTAGGAATGAACTGAATGTGAAAGGAGCAGTGGATAAACTGAAAGAGATTAATCCTTTGATAGGACTGTGCCAAGTAACCAGCTTTGAGAAAAACCCCGATGGTAGACACCAGATTGGAATTAAGCACCCCAGTTGGCTCTGTGCTATCTTATCAGCTTAGTAAAACAGAAGGAGACTTTGTTGTAACTTTAAACCTTGAAAGTAATCCAGAAACAATTGTTAATGATGAAAAGGCACAAAATTTCCCTTGGATTAGAAGACATTTCCCAGATAGTGTTGAGAATACCATATTGAGAGACCTGAATTTAGAAATTACAGAACAAGATGCCATACAGCTTGAGAAGGATACAAAAGAACAAGCACAATCAGAAGCATGGTTTCAAGCAAGAAAATATCGGTTAACAGCAAGTAAGTTTGGGCGTATACTTTCAAGAAAGAAGGACAAAGACACATTCATCAAAGATTATTTGTTTACACCAAAGAATCTGTCACATCCTGTACGAAATTTTGGCACGGATTCTGGGCGGAATTGGCACGGAATTGACACGGAATCAGTGATTTCTGGGCGGACCAGGAACGGAAACGCAAATTCCGTGTCATTCTGTCTCACAAGAAAAATATTTTGTTCACTTTTCTGGGCGGAAAACTAGAAAAATTCCGGCTGGAATTTTATTTGGAGCAGAATTTATACTTAAACATTTCATCTTGGACAGAATTTTCAACTTTGAAATTTTCTTGGGAAGGAATGGTCTTCACTATGGGCGGAATTCTATACTTAAACATTTTTCTTGAACAGAATTTCACATATAAGATGTCTAAATCATAACTGTTAACTCTTGTTTTTGCACTTGCAGACATTGAAATTTTACCAACTGTACTTATTATTTTTGTTGAAGCAATTGATACTTGACCAATAATTACAGGTGTATTTTTAGAATAAATAGGGTTATTTTTTAGACATTAAAATATGCCTAAACAATGTTTTTAAATATTGTGGCAAATGATATATTGTCAGACTAATTTAGCAAATCTTTTTTGTACTGAAAAACAACTGTAATAATCTTAGTGTAGAACTTGAAAACATTCACCTCCAAAATGCTTAAGTTTATAAAATTAGCAACATTGAAATAAGAATGCTGTTTAAATTTGAGTATCAGGACAGCCACAGGACAAGATAGTGTGCTTGCCATTTTAAACTCTAAGAAATCATGATTTTGTTATAAAAAAATAAACAAAAACAAAACAAAAACAGTGCATGAAATAATCTCATATATTATGCCCTTTTAATCTATATAGAATTGATCAGCCAATATGCCCAATAATTGCTTTCATTTAGGTAAATAAATACTACAATATATATCCACTGAGATTTTACACTACACAGATCAGAGCTCTGATAAAACTCAACTGACCAGCAGTTTCCCACCATCTTAAACTCTTTGCATGACTAATTTACTCCACTGGTCATTCCAACAGATCAGGCTGTTCCATTGAATTATTTTGGGGAGAGATAACATTATAAATTTCATATGCAGAATTTGTCTAGGACATTGCAATTTTTTTTTTGTTCAGAAATATGTAATGATTTTTAAATTCTAAATATATATCTATTTGTTACTTGCATTTTTGTTACATTCAATGAATGGAGGTTGAGATGATGAGTAAATTAACCCTGTTTTACATAATGATTGACCTGTCCATGCAGTTATACAGTTGTGAATTTTGAATTCTAAGATATCTGGGTCTGCAAAAAGAGTGCAAATAACAGAGGATGTCTACTTGATATTTTAACAATTTTGGAGATATACTTTTGTTTAAGATCTCAAAGTGTTTTAGTATTGGTATGATAAATAAGTGTGAAAACATGGGACAAGGAGATGAACAACATAATCAGGTAATTATAAACCTTTAGTTACATCAATGCTGAAACAAGTTTTATATCAAACTATCAATGGTAGCAAACTAAAATTTGTAACAGAGGTCAATGTTGTTTTTATATTTTCAACTTCATACATTTGTTTTTTTCTGATAATTGTTTTAAATCTTTAATACATGTATAATGACTGTAAAATATAAATTATTCAATGATTCTATATAATGATTATGTGTATATTGTATAATAATAGCATGTAGTAGATCTTTTTCATTTCCTGGAAATTAAACAAATTAAATCAATTTGATTAAACTTGAATAAATGGTACAAATTCAGAAGTTTTGTACAGCTGAACAGGGTCATCATAATCATTTATTATTTTACATGTATGTGTTGTGTTTCCAATGGAACAATCTAAAATTACATTTTACACTCATATTTTCAGACTGGGAGTTAAGTGCTGACTGTGAGATGCAAGATGTTTTAATAAAGATGTGCAGTATTAATCCTGAAAAGGTAATTATTTTTAAAATCTCAATACTTTACTATTCAACATCTTTCCTTGAAAAAATACATAACTAGTAATAAATAGTGTCACAAATAAAGCAGTTAATTAATTCTTATACAGAGCAATTCTTAAACACTTGTGCACTGAAATAAGATACTGCGTAAGCTTTAGTATTTTTGAATATTCATAAGCACTGTTAATATTTAATACTGTTGAAACATAAAATATGATATTATCAAAAAATATGAAATATAACTGCATATAATTATGCATCAAACATAATTCATTACTACATTTTTGTTTAATTAATTATTAATTTTATTATTAAAGGTGAGCACAACCACAAGAAGTTCTTGGAAACACAGGCAGTGGACTTAAAACAGACATCAATTAAAGAAATAGTAATTTAAATAATCAGAAACATTTGAAACAAATTTATGATTGAAACACTCTCAGCAAAAAAATTGCAAAAAAACAAAGTGTTGGATTCTAAGAAAACCAGTAACTACCAAAACCTGCAGGTAGAAAAAAACTGTTTGTGTTATAGTGAATGTATGGTATTCTATTCTGTATTTGGACTAAAGGATATGTATTAAATTTTGTGAAAGAAAATTTAATGTGATACATTATTGATAATTTTATCCCAAAAAAATGTGATCATGTTAAACTCTGATACATTATTGATAATTTTATCCCAAAAAAATGTGATCATGTTAAACTCATAAAAATTCCTCCCCCATGAATTCTGTCCCAAAATTCCGCCCAGAATTTTGTTTGACAATTCCGTTCCAAAATTCCGTTCCGAAATTCCGCCCCGAGATTCCACTTCAAAATTCCGCCCCGAGATTCCGCTTCAAAATTCCGCCCCAAGATTCCGCTTCAAAATTCCGCCCCAACTCATTTGCATATTTCGTCCGAATTCCGCCCGGAATCCGTCCTGTTTCCGCCTGGAATCCGGCCGGAATCCGTGCCAAAAGCAAATGGTTTAACACTTGTATATTTGGGGGAGAATTTAAATTTCTGGGCGGAATCTGCTATTGAATTCCGCCTCATTTCCGTGCAGAAAATTTCGTACAGGATGTTCCTGCAGTTCTGTATGGAATTCACAACGAGGAGGTTGCGGTAAAGAAGTACCTCAACTATATGACAAAAAGCAACATGAAAACAGCAGTATACAAATCTGGTGTTGTCGTGAATACTGCATTACCATGGTTGGCTGCATCCCCTGACAGACTGGTATATAACAATGATGTAGGTTTTGGACTGTTGGAGGTAAAATGTGCTTATTCAAAGAAGAGTGTGACCCCAAAAGACGCTTGTTGTGATCCTGGATTCTTTTGCACATTGAAGGACGGCCTGTTTTCCTTAAAAATAGAGCATGACTACTTTGCCCAAGTTCAAGGCCAGCTAGGAATTTGTGGAGCCAGTTATTGTGACTTTATTGTTTACACCAACAAAGGCCTCGGAGTGCACAGAATACTCTATGATGAAATATTTTTTTTAGATATGGTTAGGAAATTGAAAGATTTCTTTTTGGACCATTTTCAATCAGTTGCCAAAACACAAATTTTGCTAGATAATAATAATAATGTGTCCTCTTAAAATCTCTACATGACTGTATATGGAAAACAAAACCTTTTATGGTAGACATTATAATCAAATAGTTTCCAGTGCCATAACTAAAAAAATAGTTAGTTTGCAGTTGCTCGACTGACTCAATGCAATTGGTCCACTTAAAAAAAAGTTGGACTAAATTTTTTTATCAAAACATAACCATATGCTTGTTTAAATCTTCACTAAGATATAAGAAGAACAAAATCCCGGCCAACCGACTCACTGTTAAAAAGGTGGGTCGCGCAAATGCAAACCAATTATTTTTTAGTGATGCCCCAGTTGTGATATAATTCACCAAATGCAATATTGACATCAGCTATTGCCTCGATCGCAATAACTATTAAACACTTTATAAGATGACAGTGCTAGACATTTATACAATTTGTTTATTTTTTATTAATAGTTCTATTGATTGAAATACAGTGTAGGTGTTGATGGGTAGTTGCTATCACATGAAACAAAATATTCAATTAATGTCAGTTTCCAAGATATATGTGTAATATATGTTCTGATTGTTCTTAAACACAGGTTGTGTTTTTTTCAGGGTTGGCAAAATGCCTGCAAATACAATGTATGAGTATTTTCCATGCCGGCGGTATTTACCGGCAAATACTGGTCGATTGAATTGACCACGGTCTGGAATATATAGAGGATATAACTTTTTTCTATGAATACATGATTTATTTTCATCGAGTGGTATGAAAATTAATATTTCATGAGTGGCGGTAGCCACAAGTGAAATATAGTAATTTTCATGCCACAAAATGAAAATAAATCATGTATTTATAGAATAAACTTGAATTTTCTGTTTATTATATACATTTTCTTCTTTTTGACGTTACAATTTGAAAGACTTATCCATAAATTTTGTGTACTGCAGAACTTAAAAGAAAGTCCGACAAAATATGTTTCACTGCAGTGAAAATATTTTTTTGCAGTGAAAATACGGAAAATCAAAATACACATTTTATTTCATCAATATTACTCAATATTTCATTTATAAGTATATAATAAATACAACATTCCCTATTAAATAATCTTCATTCATATGGATAATTTCAAGTTTACCCATCAATTGCCATTTTATTTATACTTAAGTATTACACTTTTATCCCTTTTTTCATAGTAGCTTGGTAATAGTATGGAGTGCACTTATAGGAATGGTGATGACAATGGAATTTCTGTCTGTTATAAATTAAACTCAAGAATGAAGCCATGCAGATGACACTGTAGCTCATGTCATACCAATATACAACCACTTGCTTGCACCTAGGCATATGATATTTAAATAAAATGTCTGAGTTATTGAATTATTATTATGATTATACATTAATAACTGTCAACTAAATTGAGATTTCTGTAGTATTTTAAGGCAAAAAAACTCATCTTTGTAGTATTTGCCATTATTTTCCTCTTTTGGGAGTATTTTCCAGGCCGGTAAATACCCTGGTTTATTTATGTGCTATCTCACAATGACTTACTTCCAAAGGTGCTTTACTTTTTAAGTAAATGTGTGATTTTTTTAGAGTGTGAGTACAATACAATACTTTGCTTCTAATTAACATGTAAATATGTGCTTTCTATACATGTAAATATGTGCTTTTTTAAGGGAAGGTTTCTGGTAGACTATATTGACCATGTGAAACTAGCCTAACTGACTTCTGTTGTGTATTTTTTTTTTATTACATTGTTGTTCATACTTTATAAAGGTTTCAATTAGATATGGGACACAATGTATTGACTTTCTTTATGTATAAACTTTTTCTGCCCAAAGTCATCATAACTACAGAGTTTTTTGTGTAAATATTGAAATTTTGTTTGTTTTTTTAAATAAAAGAAAATGAATTCACAAAATCTTGTTTTATATGTTATTTATTGACATGCTTATACCCAACTAAAATGTATTTAACACAAACAAGTGGTATGACAAGCGTATTGTTCAATAGATCAGTTTAGTTTCCAGTTAAACTTGAAATGAGCCGTGTCATGACAAAACCAACATAATGGGTTTGCGACCAGCATGGATCCAGACCAGCCTGCGCATCCGCACAGTCTGATCATGGTCCATGCTGTTGGCTATCCGTTTCTTTACTTGTTATAGGGTCTGTAAGCGAACAGCATGGATCCTGATCAGACTGCGCGGATGCGAAGGCTGGTCTGGATCCATGCTGGTCGCAAACCCATTATGTTGGTTTTGTCGTGACACGGCTCAAATATAAAAAAAGTTTGCACATAACATCACAGCATTGAGTCAAATAAGTAGAAACAACAAAATACTGTTTATTTCTTTCAATGAAGGACTTACAAGTGTCATATTAAACCTTACCAAATGTTTGATATTCATTTTGACAAAAATTTAAATTGATTTTAAAGTAAGTTTCCCAGTGTACAACTAACACTTAGTATGTTGCTATTCAGCCATCACTGTCTTTAATCAGAACCAGGACATGAAATGATTGGCTCCTGGAATAGAGTCAACAAGGCACAGACAGTCCAGATTTGATTAATTGTTCCAAATAGAGATACTGGAATGGCCTGGTCAAATATGTGGAAATTTTTTATTTTATTGATGGCTCTCTCAACATGTATTCTCTCAGCAGCAATACTTTGGGTCTGAAACACTTCAATGTCTGTCATTTGCCCATACTTTCCAAGAAACGGTGGGATATTCAGTCGTACTCGTTTCTCATCCAATAAGTCCTGGATATCAAACCCTTTGTCTGCCATTAAACTGTCACCCTCATTAAAAGGAAGATCTAAGAATCCACTCCTGATGGTAATTTCTCTATCTGATATACTACCATGGTACAATTGGCTAACAAATGTAATACTACCACAGGGGGCGATGCCAATTAAGCCCTTCAATGTATTTGTGCTTTTATAGTTACTGTATGTTTGACTTTTCAACAACAATGAAGAAGGCATATTCACTTTTATTTCTGTACAGTCTATGATTGCACGAGTAGATGGATATTTCATTTTGAATGAACTGGGCATAGACTTGTCTACCATCTCACGTGAAGGCCAGATAATCAATGTTCCTAGCCTTAAATAACAAAAGTTTGCCCATGAAATAATTATGTTGCTGACAGTGGAAACAGAAATGTTAAAACGCCTTGCAAGATCCATTTCAAATAATCCTAATTTAATTCTGCATAAAAAAAGGAAAAACTGATTTGAAGGAGACAATTTTCTTGACCTAGTTTTCCTTTCGACATCCCTTACAACATTTTCTTTCTCTTGAACAACTGAAATATTTTCTCCATTTTCACCTGGATTTAGAAGCCCAAGTACCACATTAAAAACATCTTGAGATTGAAATCCTGTATAAAATGGAAATTCCTGTGGCTTCAAATTTTCAACACAGAAAACAGACTGATTCAGATCATCTTGAAGAGCTTGGTTATCAGTAACGAGCTTAAGCTGCCTCTGTTCCAAGAAAGCAATTTTGTTTTCAAGTAATTTTATATGCTCAATCATGTAATTATTTTGCAGTTCAACTTCACAAGTCTGAATTTCAGTCATAGGGTTTACATTTTCCTTATTTAAGTCACTTAAGGTGTCACTTTCACTGTTAATTTCAACAGCTTGGGGCATCTGATCATCTTCCGTTAAGTTAATGGTCTTGTTTATCTGCATCTTGTTTTGTGGTCTTGTACGAGTTGGCTTGTATATGTGCTTTATGTCCTTCCAGCATTCGAATATTGTTGGCACAGCTCCAGTCAACAGACACCTTCTTTTACCGTAACCCGACACTTCTGTCATATCTGTAGGAAAGTGAAGGGAGCATACCACTGTAGAGCTGTTAACCTGAAAAATAGTGTTTTGTTTTGTTTAATTAGTTGTACATTGCAAAGTAAGAATGTATATGACAGTTAATTGAGAAAATATATAAAACTAGGGAAATATTGGTTTTGAAAAAGAAAGATCTAACACAATATTCAGTGATGTTTCTCTTAAACAGTGTGGGATTAAAATCTGTATATATGTTATGGCAAATTTTATACAGATTTATATTTGGTCACAGCATACTAATGAACAAATCTTCTAACTTTTCTGGCATTTTTTAATATTTATTTTTATACGATTTGTTTTCAATGCTTCCTGTACAGCCATAACCTAATGAACCAATAACTGTTTAAAAAACACACACTATTTCTACCTTGAAAAATTCTCCTTCACTTCGTCTTATTTTCTGTAACCACACCTCCCGCAAAGGATTGCCAATTGGGGGGAATCTATGATAGCTGGGTTTGCCATGGCCTTCTATCACTTCGTAGCCTGTTGTATGACAATGTGGCACACAGCATATGCGTTTACACTGAAAAATAAAATTTTGATATTATAAGGCTGTCCTACAACAATTGTAATGGCTTTCATTAATATATATATGTGAAGTTGGTTGAATGAAATCTACAAAAGACTAGCAATATTTTAATATTATTCAAATTTCTAATACAATGTAAGCTAACATTAGTCTGAATAATTTAACAGAAAACAGCTTATTTGATGTTATTTGTTTGTTTTGATAAAATCACTTTACTCTACTGGGGATACGGACAAAAGTCCTCCCCCCCCGGACGAAAAATGACATGGTGGACAAAAGCCCCCCCCCCATGAATTTTCCACATACATGTAGGACAAAAGCCCCCCCCCCCCATAAAAAAGTAAAGGTAGGACAAAAGCCCACCCCCATGGTCCATCACATTTACATGTAGTGTCAATGAATGAATATCTGCCTTTTTTCAATTAATTTGGTTATTTCATCATCCACCAGAACAGAGTGAAGGCTCTTTGTCAGCAGTTCAACAAGGGTGAGAAGACTATGGCACAATTTCTGTATGCCATGTCACAATGTATCATTTTGAACAAATTAACAAAATAAACAATTTTATTGAAAAAAACATGCATATACAAATACATGTATATGTTTTCTATTTGTTAATTAAATATACGTATATAACAAAATAACCAAATTAATTGAAAAAAAGGCAAATATTAATTCATTGACACTAAATGTAAATGTGATGGACCATGGGGGGGCTTTTGTCCTACCTTTACTTTTTTATTGGGGGGGGGGGCTTTTGTCCTATGTGGAAAATTCATGGGGGGGGGCTTTTGTCCACCTTGTCATTTTTAGATGGGGGGGGGGGGCTTTCGTCCGGGGGGGGGGGGCTTTTGTCCTACACTCAATATATGATTTATTTCCCTTACCATAAAGTAAGTTTTTGTACATGAAAATATACCTTTTTGTTTCTTGGAGATCCATGTTCATCTGATGCTGACTGTGGTAAGGTAATAGTAATTGGTGTGGCAATGTAGATCTCTTCTGATTCTTCAGAGAATTGACAGTAGTTGTGGTCTAAGCTATAGTCTAGGTCCATCTTGAATTAGCCTACAAAAACATTGAAATCATAATTTGTGTAACACTTTTTCTCGATCAATAATTTTATACATGAGCCTACTGCAGATGTTTTTAAATAATTCATTTCTATCATATAGTAAAATTCACACAACGATCCAAAGAGCGTTATCGGATTTTTTTTATTTACTATGCATGTCGCGAAAACATGTGACATTCATAATGTTTTAGCGTTAGACGCGATTCGATATAAAACCGAAATAAAATTACTCTGGATAACAATCGAGTACTGCCATAAAAATTGATATAAGTCGTAATACTACCTACAAGAATTTCCAATAGCCCTGTTTTCGAGTTTTTATGACAGCTTCGCCATATTTTGCAGTAGTCCTCATTTGACGTCACACAAAGGGAGGTAATTTGCGACCCGCTTATTTGGAAGAGTGTATAAAATGCTTTGATTTTTTATATAATTTTATATGGGTCAATGTTGTAAACTATTCGTTGTAAATGAAAATAAATTGCAGTTAAAATTATTACAAAGTTATGAATAAAAAATTTAAAATCTGTCTTAAATATGTATCACACCGTCGGAAGCCGAGTAGTTTATGTTTTAAGCTGCAAACCCTGTGGGTTCGATGTGGGTTCAAACACCGCAAAAGACTTCGGATTCTTTCGTATGAGAAAGCTGTTTTCATTCAGTTTAAGTATGGAGTCTGAAAATTCCTAAAAATAGTCAGTTTCTTGAAATGCAGACAAATAAAGACATTGTTTACCTTTTAGTAAATTGTTTGCATTTGAATTAACAAGTTTTCAATTCAATGGCATCTAATTTGAAGCCAAAAAATGGAGATAGCAGACATTTACTGTTTTTAGCATCATTATCTAAGATCATGCACAGTTTATATATGGCTATAAACCTGTTATTTGTTTTATGCCAATCAAATTCTATTCTATTTCTATATGTAATTTTTGCATACGCCTTAAAGGCATTACCTGATGATGTTGGAACGGTATTTAGAACATGGAACATAGGGTTAACAGTTTCTTATATTTTTTGTTTCACAATTCAACAAAATTTTGTCACCCACACTTTACATGCTTTACATAAATTTGCAACAATAGTTTTTGATAATAATAAAATCCGCAATGTTTAATCTGTCTACGTTTTAATTTGTACTGCACGCAAAAAAATGCTGTTTTAATTTGTTTGTTTTGTCAAGCGTTTCTTAAAAGATGCGTTTGCTTTTGTTTATCTCGTTAGCTTTAACGGGTTTTAAACTTTGACGAATTCATCTATAACGTTTATACAAAATCAAATTGTCAACCCATAAAATAAGAAATACAAATATCATACCGAAACTTAGAAATCGATTAATCTATGTTTGAAATACTAAATGTGGCTTCTGTGTTTATCCTATTTTTTAGGCTACGCTTAGCTAAATTAGTATGTGACTACCTTGAAATTGCTTTATATACTTACAAAAAGATTAGCTTAACCAGCAATACCCTTAAAAACTTGCTCTTCATGCTTATCAATAGATATTTTGCGCCATAGTCCACTGTGGTTCACATGTCGGGTTAGTATGGTCGGTAAATTCAAACCTGGTCAGGGTCATACCGTTGTTTCCTTGAGCAAGAATTTTTTTCTTAATTGCTTAGTACTGCTTGGTTCCAGGAACGGATTCTAGAGAAAGTTTCAATAAGCTCCCAACATAATCGAGCTAAAATAAATTCGTATAAACTAAGTCAAAGCTTTTAGTCAAAATTAAACTAAACCGATCCGATTCCATGACATTTCAGGAAAGATGGAGTAAGCGAATTTAGTGCTCTACCATTGGACTGAAAAAGACAGTTTTGTAGACATCATTATGATTAAACTAATAGTCTTTGACATTTGAAATTTGACATTAATATTTGTTCATCTATTCACGTGTTGACATTTGACAAATTATGTACATGTATATTATTGATAAGATTCTAATAAATTTTCGTTTTTAATCATACAAATAAAACGAAAAAACGAACATACAAAAAACGAATCTTTAAATGAAAGACATTGAATGCTTAAACTATGAAGTTACTACTTTTCTACGAGTAATGATATTCATGGTCATTTTAACCGAATGTACATAATTACGGCTTTAAAAAAAACAATACAAAAACATCAATTTAATATCTTATAAGAAGAAGATTTCTATAGGTACCTTCACAATTCAAAGATAATTTTTTTGACCATTTCAGATACAAAAATAGATGCTAGGACAATTATAGATTTTGATAGTACTGTTGACTACAAGTAGTTTTCCTGATGTTGAAACTAAAATATGTTTATTGGAATTTTGAATTTCTTTTGCACAAAGAGAGCTAGACATTGGTTTTTATACATCAAGACCTTACGAAAGATAGAAGAAAAATATCATAGGAAATGGTAGACTGATATAGATTTCGCCTTTATATATGACCAAAATTGAAAGTAAAAATAAAACTCTAATAGATCATAAATATGACAAAAGCAGTAACCTCAGCATGAAATACCAATCACCTACCGGAATAAATATTTATTAGCGTCTGTTCAATGCAAACCTTTTTTTCTAAAATTCGTATTTTCATATAAAGATTAATGCAAAAGTAGTTTTGTTATGACTTTTTGTAAAGACTCGAGAGGGTGAAAATGTAAAAACACAAAGTGATATCACGAATTGTTAAGTAATACATTCAAATGTCAATTAAACAGACAAAGTCACGTAAGGTAAATTTATTGCAATTAAAACAGGTAAAGTTACATTTAAAATATATTATATATTATAACATAAATCACTACGCTGATCTATCGTTTACACAACTCATCCGTTTTTAATGACTTTTTAATACAAGAGCTTTGTTGCACCAAGATGATTTTTAAGACACAAGTAAGTTTAAAAAATCTGACAGTACATATGTTGGAATACATACATGTCCATTAGCTATTTGCGCATAAACATGACAGTTCTGTCAAAAAAACACCGTAACTCAAAGTGGATAAGTCTAAAATGTATACATTTTCCATAAGCATTCAAAATATTGATAAAAACAATTTGGATATTCTTATAAAAATTGCTTGAAGAAAATATGTTGTTAAATGTCTAAGTAATTTAGAATGAACAATAATATGATGAATAATAATTTTTTTTTTCTAGAACATTTATTATCTTTTATATACATGTATATGTAATTTTTTACATTATTTCGGGCACGAACGGGCACCTGAATCACTGACACCATGGTGTCTTACATGTAAGACTTTTCAATTTGACTATTATAACGAAAAGTCGTTATGTTGTCCTAGCAATGGTCGGCGATTTAAACCAACGCTATCTGACAGTATAACAGCAACAGGTGCTCTTTTTCAATTTTCAAATAAATGACATTTGTTAGTCAGAAACATTGTTTTGAATTAATAAATTGTAAATTATATAAACGTCTTTTGTGTGAAAATATGTTGGTAATAATGAAGTGAGTTATAATGAATTTATTGCTTGTTTTATAACATTGAGATCTTGTACATCTGTATACCTTTGTTAGTCCAGAATATAAATAAAACGTTTTGTTTTTCAGTATCAGCATTAACTTACATTTAAAAAAAAACGACTTCAAAAAAAGGATACTTAAGATTTTGGTTCCATTTTACCACTTTGTCTGTTTCATTCCATTTCATAGACAGGTAGACTTTTGCTATAGTACATGTTCTATCTACTACATGCAACAGAAGCATTTTCTAAATAGACATAAGACATTAAAGTTTATGATGTGATTTCCGTAACACAATTCACAGTACTTAACTACTGTGTGGTAGTCAAACACGTAAACCTATACCACATGTGGCTGAGGGTCCGCCTTTAATGGTTGAGGCATAAAAATTGCAGCCATCGTCTATCCCTGCGTGATCATACAGAGGCGGCTAAATGACTTCAAATAACAGAGTCTATGCATTTCTAAGCTCCGGCAGGTGAGGTAGTTTTGACCCCTTGTGTTTCTTTAAAGTCTGGAATGCTAGAGGTTGGCCAAAATTATATTTCATGTTTCGGCGCAATACGGCCTTTACTAAGTTGGTGCGAGTGTGTCTGATGAAAACTTGTGTGCCATGAACGTTCAGTAACACACGTAAATTCAAATAATTTGAATATAAAATAAATTAAAGTCTGTATCTCCAGTAAAAATAGTACACTGTTAACATACGGCTTGATGTTAACAAAAGAACGACCAATTGGTTTAGTAATTATATTGCTAAAACAATTAGTTTACCAATAATCAATCAAATATGCATAATGATTGTAATTTACATACTACGCATATCACCGAAAGTGCATTGTTATATTGTTTAAATGACGTATCGCAACTGTAAAGCTACGGAAATAATTATTTGCTTGAACCATGGAAGCTTGTTGTTGTTTATCAAATTGCATAACAAAATACACTTATTTCTTTTGCACTGAATACATTAAAGTGCAATAAAGATGGATTTTAATAGTGTATTAAGTTTTGTTTTAATAAACATCTCTTTTTAATATATTGGTTAGGTATGAATATCATATTTATTAAAAGATATCTTTTTCACAATTAGGTTAATATAATTACAGCTAGCTACCATGTCATTCATCTTATTGACTAAGACTACTGAAATTAAATTGAAATTATGTCAATCATGCAAATGACTGTTATGAGATCGATCAAGTAAAGGTTAACAATAAGTCTCAATGTACTTAACTAATTTGAAATAAACATAAAACTTTTAATTAATTTTATTTTAATTCAATCTTTTAAGAATCATAATTCGAAAGAATACATAAATCATTGACTGAACAACTGACTGCGGTTGCCATATGAGTTCAAAAGGTGTTACATGAAAACCATACCAAAATAGCTTGTCTTGGTGCCAAAATTTACTTATTTTATAAACAATCCCCTTTTTGTGTGTCCTTCACCGTGATAATACAGAACGTCACTACTTTCTTATTTGATCGAGTCTGAACTTATGTCGGCATTTATTACAGTTACATGTATAAGTCAAAACTTATTCTGCTATAATCTGGAAAAATTGTATATGAAAATTACATAATTTTAAGCATGGTACCTTTAAGACTATTTGCAACACATTCTTGTTTTTCCTCTACTCTTTTCATCAATGGAATTTTGTAAGTGTCAGTCAATTTAATTACAATTAAATCTTTTAGACCGTTAACCTTTACTCATTATTGCGTTACATGCAAATCTTGACGTGAAATCCTTTAATTATTTTTTTTAAATGCCTTTAAAGAAATGTATCATTAAATTACTATCATTTATCACCTTTATTAACATTTTGACAACTTTATGTAATATTTTTTTTAAACACTCATTCGTATATATAATCACAAAATTGTAACACACATGCCTATTATAGTAATTCATATTATCATATTTTGTATTGTTTAAT